AGCCTAAAGGCTGGTTTTCACTATGTCCAATTCAATGGCATTTGGCATCAGATAAGTGAAAACACATAGCCAAGTGGGACTCAAAAACGTTCTATCGATTGGTTTAGATGATAGTGTTCTGGTGAATTGGCTAGCTGTTCATTTTCGGTAAGGGCATGAATAAAGGAGCCGGTGATGTGTCAAAATACGTTGTCAAATTTTTTCGTCAAAATATTACATATTTAGTAAACAACCAGCTCTAATAATCCAATTTAAGTAAAATAAAATAAATTACATGCACTTCACGACAATGTAATTAGGAAGTTCGCGGGGTACCTTGTCGGGCGTTGACCGTGTAAAAAGTTGTTGGTCATGCGGGGGTTAAGAAGAACTGACAGCCACATTTACAAGTACAGTTGAGCCTCGATTATTCAGGTGGTGTTTAACCTTTATTACACAGCCCGATTGGCCAATTGAACATTGGACAAGACTAGTCATTGCTAGAAGATTTTATGGGGCTAAATCGGAACCCGCTATGAGTAAACGCCCGGATTTGGTCTGGGATTTGTAGTTTAGGCGAGTTTCTACCACTTCATCTCCGAGTTTATCGCCAGGGTGGAAAAATGCAGCATAAATATTACAAAATTGGTCCCTTTGTGATAAATGGAAAATACACCTGGAACATTTCTGTCGTTCGTACCACTACGTTGTGGTTGTTGTATGTTTGGCGAAGTTGAACCAGAATCCCAAAAAATTTTAGCGGCATCTTGCAATACCGGACAAAAATTTACCCATTGGGTTTTCTTTACATTTTTCGTTATATTTTCGTCATTTACAGTGTGATCTTAAAGAATGGTACATCGGTGTCCTGGTCTCAAGGGCAAGGTTGAGCTGCAAAATTCATTGACTCAAGTACCTCATTCTAGTACTAGTATCCACCAGATCTCAGTTCACACCACCCTAATGTGAGTTAAATAAAGTTCGCCAAAAATAAATTAACTTTTTCTAAGGAAGTATTTCGACTCGATGGCAATTTCGAAATTTTTTTCCGAACGAAGGGGACAGTTTTTTTTTTTTTAATTTTTCGTCATATTTTCCGCGTTTACGTGCGGATATTAATCTATGATATATCGTTGTTTTTGTATCAAGAAGTCAACTTATTTGTTCCAAAGTTCATGAATCCTAAGAACCCCGTTCAAGTATTTACCCAGCTTATTACTCAATTAAAGCTCATCAAAAATCATTAAAGTTCGTCCAGAAATAAAAGTCTAAACTGGCTTGCAAAAATACTTTAGACTTAGTTGTGTACGTCGAACTTTGTTTGTTTGCTTTTAAAGTTTCAGATTTAGCGCCCGTAGGACCACTTCCTGTTTCAGTGAAGAAGTGGCTTGGTCACTGGCAAAAAGCTGAGGACCTCGGGAAAACTTATTATTTGAAGAAGATACAAAATACAAATAAATGTATTTTATTCACAAAGTAGCTGAGTTGTCGAACTTTGCCCGTATTTTATTTGCAAGAACCTCAGATTCTTGCCAAATTTTCACTTCAGCCATATACATTCACCTCGCAATTTAAATTTCGCCGTCTGTTCAATATCTGCAGTATTTAATTACCGCAGAACATAAATCGATTAAAAGATACCTACACCATTCAGCAACTTCGAAGACTTGTTTAGTAGGTGGATAAGCATTTCATCCAATGAAGTCTTCTAAGCAATACTTTTGGACCGCGTTTAAATCACAAAAATATTGAAGCAAAATCAATTAATTTAAAAATGATTTAACTCTATGTTTCTAATTTAAATAGAATACTAGAATAGCATGCTATGTTGAAATGTTTTATGTGCCTAAGGCCGAGGCCACGCAACTAGCGACTGAGCGGTGAGCGGATTTTATTCCTGCGCGGCGCCGCCCAGCATTCAGAAATGCCGCTCACAGGCCGCTCATTGCGTGGTCACTTCAATAGTATATCATATATAAAATTTCAGGTCTACCTCATACTTGGTATTACATTTGACGGGTGCAAGTTATTGAGCGCCAAGCGATGATATGTTTTAATTTTAAGCCGCTCACCGCTCAGCCGCTCGCCGATTTTCCGCTCATTGTGTGGCCTCGGCCTAAGGGGTTTGTATTCAATTAGGCATTATGCGTGACTTTACAAAACTAAATAGTTACTAAACATTAAAAAAAATATATTGAATATAACGAAATTTTTCTAAGCAATACAGAACTTATTGTCAGCTTAAGAATCATTTTTACTGTCAATTACTCAACACCATTACGCAAACAGTGTTCCTTTTTCAACCTTAAAAAAAAATGTTTTCGCGAACTGGCGTATCATCCAACATCACGCTTTAGTTGCATTGTCATTATTTCCATAAATCTCTTAACTTTTCTGTGCGTTAAGAATTTTCGTACCAAACTAAAAATGAGCATAATGAAAATCAACTTGTTTCCATGTGCTAGCTGCTGTGAATATAGCAAAAGGAGCCGCTTTATATCTGCATCTTCATTCAACTGGAAATTCATCAACATCATCGTCTTCGTCATCGTCATCGTTATGGTCTTTAACGTCGTCACTCACCCGCTGCTCCACAGCAGTAAAAGCATTGGACTTCAATATTTTCTGTTATCCTCATATTTATCAGGCATTTTTCTATTTCATAGACTCAACTTTGGGTTCGTGTGCGTTTGGGCGTTACCGTGTTGCTATGATCCAACGTGGATCAACGGTTCATCCCCTTGTCATTTACTATGCAATATTTATGTATTAGAAACGAAGGTTTCAAGCAGCTTCAGTCATTTGCCCCTTGCTTTGACTTCAATTTGCGCCATCTCTTCACCTACAGCGCCAAACGTTAGTTAAATTCATTGGTTACTCTCTTCCCCGGTCAATTTGGTCTGTGCCATACATATAAGCTTAAGTTGTGTTGCTACTGTTTCTATTATTGTTGTTGTTTTTGTTTTTGCTGCTGTTACCACTTGTGCTGTTCTTATTGCTGTCTGTTTCGTTACATTTGCTCGGCATTATGAAGCGACAATGAAGTCAAGTGGAATTAAGATTTCAATACCCATTCGCTCGTGGATCTATTGAATGCGCCATCCTTTTACACTCCCCTGCTTAGCCTTTCGGCATTCATGCAACCTTTCATTCATTTAGTCAGGTACATATACATACATATATATTAGGGTGATGTGTATTACATCCTAGGATCTCCGCTAAAGTGTTTCGAAAAAAAATTATTATGAATTACATCAGCTAGGCCGATTTGAGAAAACCATTGATTCCGCTGATAAAGTTTTTAAACATTTTAACTAATGCAGATCTTTTAAGCTTAAACACTTCTATCATCTGAGGTGATTTGTTTGAAACTTTTTTTTTAGAACTAAGTTCATTTATAAAAAAACTTGATTTTTGCAGTATTTTCTAATAGGTTGAACTCGCGTATATCTTAAAACTTTTCCGAAACATTTTGCCAAAAGTATAAAATATAATACCTTTTATGTTTTCGATGGAAAAACAGCGCCGATTTTTTTTTATGGAGAGTGATACACCCTAATATATATTTAAGTAAGTAAGTAAGTATTTATGTTTAAGCTTGTATCGCACAAACACGCCTCTTTAGCTTTAGGATAGCTCTGGCATTATTGTGTTCATGAATGTTACTTAGGATTATCGTGGTTGTTGTTAATGCTGCTGTAAATGCTTATATTTTGACTTATGGATTATGGAATTTGCTTTGATTTCCTCTGCTACAACACAGCAAGTTTTGCATTGAATTTTCTGCATAGTTCAGGAGCCTTATCTGTATGTTAAATATTTTCTCACACTCCACTTAAGCTTTGTTATTATATGGAGATTCATATGTATGCACATGTATGTATATGTATACCTTATTGTGTTAACGACCTTTTAACGTACATATATAACAAGCGGAAAATTAACAGTAAATATGTATATACATACAAAGAAAAGATGCATGCATTTAGAAGTTTCATTAGCATATCGTTAACAGGATTTTTCTCAGTAAAATATCTTAACTTCCTTGTCAGCCAATTAGTCACCATAAATTTGTGTTCTTTAAACCTGCACTAAATCATAAACAGAGTGCTAACTTCAAACATGAAATCTTCACGATTATATACACACATACGTTGACAGATAGATATGATTTTTTCGAATGGGCGGCAACCCTAATTAAAATATTTTCAAACTAAAGCTCTGTTAAAACTGTCTCGCTCGATACTTATATTTTAATACCAATTTATGTATAAATTAACCGAACTCGCATTTAAAAGCAAGCGACAATACTCTTAAAAAGTATTTTCAAACTAAAATCTTCTAAAGCCTATTTCGTCTCACGTAGTGATACATCTTTTTATTAGTTACTGAATATGATTGAATTTCATTTTTTTAAACACGTGGCAACGCTCCTAAATATAATTCAGAGATAAAGCCCTTTTAAACCTATTTCCATAGGCACCCTACTCTTATTAATTTATTTAGCTTATAAAATAATCTGAATTTTACTTTTTCAGTCTGTAGGAACCCTCTTCAAACATCTCCAATATATTCTAAATGTTCAAACTAAAGATTTCTTAACACTCTTCCGTTTGACTGACATATTTTAATATTTCATATGACTTTTGTTAGTTTAATTAAATTCGACTTTTAAAACAGGTGGCAACCCTCTTCAAAATATTTCCAAACTAAAATCTTGTTAAACCTCAATTACCTAATTCTCTTCATTTAAATTGAATTTGATTTTGAACAGGTGGCAACCGTACAACATGTAGTTAGGAAATAAAGCCTTTTCAAAGCCATTTCCGTTGATGCCTTTTGTAATAAATTATATGTACTCATTTTTACAGATATTTAAAGAGTTTTACACTCTATTTTATCTGCTTCGACTTGTTAGTTGCATACTGTTTTACGCCAAGTTTATTTCATTTAGTTATCCTAGAATGCCTTAAATTTAGCACAAATCTTCTATATAGTTTTTTTTTCATAGCAATACTCACCTTGAAATTCCTTGCGTGCCGCACTCACCGACGTCACAATGTTCGCCACATGACCCAATACCGTCGCGAACAGCATCAGTCCGAATAGCAATTGTAATATCACAAAGACGTATTCACCTTTCGATCTGGGCTTCGGCAAATCCCCGATCGTCGTTAAAGCTAACGTACACCAATAATAACTTTGTAAATATTGTTTAACTACATCGGCCGATTCAGAATCATGGTACACCCAATTCCTCGAACCGAATCCATTGTTTTTATGTATAATATGATACAGACATCCGTTCCAATGGAATATCACAAGTAGGTAGTGTATCAGCGCTGTCGAACGAAATAAGTTCGGATAGTTCGTATGTCGTTCGGTGCGATCCATAAATGCCCAAAATCTATAGATTTTCACCAAACGAAATGAACGCAATATCGAATTGAATCCGATTGATAGATATAAAAAATCCAATGGCAGCAAACACAGGCAGTCAATGTAGAATGTTGTCGAATTCATGTAGTGTTGACGCAATTTCGTCGCATCAGTTTGTAGTACACCATCCTCCAAGTAACCGGTACGAAAATGAAAGAATATATCTATCAGATATAAAAAATCGGAGAAATAATCGAGACAAAACCAAATGGCAATCGTTCGTCGATTGATCTCTTGAAAGGCGAAACGATAGATTATCACCCAGAAATTGTAAAGGAACGCCAGCGATACGACCATTGACCAGTAGTAGCACAGACGCCCCGCTGGATCGAACACAAAGTGGAATTTACGCGAGGCAGTGGCGGCACGAAATCGTTGCGAGGCGGTTCGATGTGGTTGCTGCTGATGATGTGATGCTGCGGACTGTTGTTGTTGTGCGGATGATAAATGCGATGTGTGTGAAGTTGGATGGTGCGCATGCGACACCGACGCCGAGTGGTGTAGCTGATGCGACGAATGATGCGAATGTGAGGGGCCGCTATGTGGCGGGGCAGTGGTCGTTGAGGTACCGGAACGTGAGCGGGGATATCTGTGTGAAAAAAATGGAACGAAAAAATCGGAAAAATATTAATAAAATGCAAAAAGTAGTAGTAGTTTAGGTAGATACAACGAAATCAAACTTTTTCCAAAATAAAAAAAAATCGGACAACGGTTACTGCTTGACTAGACCAAATAACAACATACGTGTATCGTCGTTTTATCATTTTAAGTATGAGTTTTGTTTTAAAGGTATTAGTAAACATTTCTGTAAAATATTCTGATCCTCTAACTCTTAATAGGTGGCCCTTTTTCGTCCCTTTTTTTAGAAAAGGGCAAAAAGTACACAAAAAACGGAATAACATGAATAAACTTTACTAGAGCTGGGCAACTCTGGCAACTGTCTTTCAACTCACCAAAGTCTTTCGGGCAAGACTAATTGAGTTATCTGCTAACGAAGATGCTTGCGCCTAAGTACTTGTATTTTCCTTTTGCAATAAGTTTTCTCAAAATTGAAATAAATTTAAAAAATTATATATATATATTTTTTAACAATAAAATTTAAGAACTAAAAGAAAATTTAATCAAAAAGGCAAAAAATTATTAAAAAAAGTAAAAGGAAACTCAGTAAATTTCTACAAGGTTAATTAAAAGAAAAACTTTTATTTTAAATTCAACAATTTTTATTGAGCTCGAGGCCGTTTTTTAATGAAAATTTATTGTGGAAAAGCAACAATAATTTGAAAAAATGGTAGAAGTGATAGCTATTTCGGAAATCACCACATTTCCTCATCAGACTTCTTTCAGTAGGATTCGAACCGACGATCCCACTGACTCAGCCAGTTGCCTATGCACCAAACTGATAAAAAATAACAAAAACAAATTACTTAAGGACGAGCACTAAACATTCTAAAAATAGAATTATTAGCAAAAACCAACAATACCAACAACCACATGATCAAGTGAATTGCAGCGGAATAGCTGCGCTGGATTGTGTTGGCATAACAAAAAAAAAATGAAAATAGTGGAAATAAGCAAAACAATAATTTACAAAGCGTACTTAGCACGGTGCATAGGCAACTGGCTGAGTCAGTGGGATCGTCGGTTCGAAGCCTACTGAAAAAAGTCTGATGAGAAAATGTGGTGATTTCCGAAATAGCTATCACTTCTACCATTTTTTTAAATTATTGTTGCTTTTCCACAATAAATTTTCATTAAAAAACGGCCTCGAGCTCAATAAAAATTGTTGAATATAATTGTTATAAGGCCACAAAAATAACAAAAACTTTTCTTTTAAAACAATAAATTCCGAAAAATTAAAACTAATATTACATTAAAAAAGAAAAAAATTAACAATGTAAGCTTCTATAAATAATACGAACTAAAAATTTCTTGTTTGTTAAAATAATAACATCTAAAAATTAAAAGAAATTAAATAAAAGAATAAAAAATAAATAAAATAAATCAGAAAAAAATAGATTTCAAAAATTTTATCAACTAAAAATGTATATATTTATTTTTCTTCTTAAAACATTAAACCTAAAACTTAAAGAAAATTGTATTAAAAAAGAGAAGATAAAATTAAAAAAAAAAATAGAAAAAATAAACAAGGTTTCTATAAAGTAAATAAAAAAATAGACTTTCTTTTTAAAACAATAAAATCAAATGAAACAGAATAAATATATATATATTTAAATAAAATATTCCGCTGCCTGAAGATTCGAACTCGGATCTCTTGAATGGCACGCCAATGCTGTGCTCCCACGGTCATTGCGTCTGTTTCGGCAGCGTGATCAAATTGATATACTACATACTCCATTGCAACATGCTCAAGTGCGTTCAGTTACCATTAAATGTGGGAAAGGAGCTTTTTTTGTACGACTGTCGTAACAGAATAATACAAATATTTTAAACTATCTTGACTACTGGCTTTCAATTGTCATACAAAAGAGTTGCAACTATCTGAACGCACCAAAGCACAAAATTCATTTTCAATGCCAGAAATGGTCTTTACTAAAGACAAAAGGCAAAATGGCAAACAAACTAAACCATCGGTATGCTATTATATTTACTACATAAACGTCTTTGACAACCTCTGATTTGCTAGTGGGAAAATAATTTTTCACGAAACCGCTGTCCAATGCACATTAAGGTGGAAGTGGTAAGCAGAAAAGCGTGGGATATACTCGTTCCTTCGTCAAAATGCTTTTATATACGAGCCTACAGGAAAGATTTTCGGCCAATTTACCATTTCAGAAAGCATATAATTTTCTTAAAATACATGAATGTATGTACATTAGGGTGGTTCAAAGAAATTAAAGCCGGAATTTTAATGCTCCCACCCCATAGGATTGTTCCATATCGAAAAATATGCCCTTGTATTTATTTTTGAAATAAAAAAATATTTAGAGGTCGGCCAAAGCGGTAAAATAAAAAAAGACTTTCTCGTACAAATTGTACAGAATCCTCGGAAATCTATATTTTTCAATCGTTAAACTTTGTTTCTCTTCAAGAGACCTTAACGAATGATAACCAATTGCTCATTTTACCATTTTTTAATATTAACAGTTTTTTAGGGCTTCCCCAAAACCCACATAAAGAATCGTTAGAATTAAGAAATGGTTAAATAAACAATTGGGTACCATTTTTTCAACCCTCCTGAAGAGAAAAATAGTTTAACTATTGACAAATAATAATTTCCAAGGATAGAAAAAAATTTTATTTTTCTTGCATGGGTTTCTGGACCACTCTAATGCAGATACTTTTATATCTACAAACGAGTATGCATACATATATTGCACGCGCACATTGAAACTATACAAATAAAATATAAACTGAGTTCAACAATTTCTCACCTATCAGTGCCGTTGCAGAAATTCCCGCTAAATTGATTACTCCCCGCCAAGCCGCCGGCCAATGTGTTGTCTTGTGAACCGCGCGCCGTTGTCGAACGTTGCCACGAATCGAGCAGCGGTTGCTCGCCGGACATTGTTTTCAGGCGGCCGCGCGATTTGCGTCGCTGTTTGTTGCTGCTGTGCAGTAAATCCATTTCGGAGGCAGTGCTTACAGTGGCCACATGTGGATTGGAGGCACGTGATGCGCATGGTGTGGCGAGGCTGTCGTGTGATGTGAAGAAACCTTGCTGTGAGACGCTCTGACCGAATTTCGGCTGTGGCATGCTAAATTTCGATCCGAGATCTGTGTAAGAATAGAAAGAGAGATAGAAGAGAAAACGGGTTAAGAAATTAGTAAGTAAATAAATTAATTTTCAAACTATTTCAAGTATTTATAAGCAAAATATTAAGACGCTGACTATGTACGTATGTAAACAATTTGAGTTCACTGGCATTTGGCGAGAGTCCAAGTATTTAGATCTAAAATGCGCTGATGCGAGTATATTTCAATTAAAATAAGATAAGCTATTTTAGCTTAGTAGAATTTAAAATAAGGAAAAGAAGACAAAAATACTGGAGATGAGTAAAATAAAATGGAGATGAAGAAATTGAGTTGAGCAGAGAGGAGTAGAGTAGAGTAGAGTAGAGTAGAGTAGAGTAGAGTAGAGTAGAGTAGAGTAGAGTAGAGTAGAGTAGAGTAGATTAGAGTAGAGGAGAGTAGAGTATAGTACAGTACAGTACAGTACAGTACAGTGAAGTGAATTGCAGTGAACTGAACTGAAGCGAAGCGGAGAGAAGTGAAGTGAAGTTGAGTGGGCAGTAGTGAGGAGGAGTTGAGTGAAGTAGGGTAGTGTCAAATGGAGAATCGTGAAGAGGAATGCAGTGAAGTAGAGTAGCACATGGTTAAATTGAATAGAGAGAAGGTTAAAGAGAAATTATTTGAGGGGAGTGGATTACAAACAGTGGAGTGCGCTGGATTAGAGTGTAGTATAGTGAAGGAGAGCAGAGCAAAACGGAGTGAAGTTAGGATTAGAATAAGGGTGCGAAATGTGAAGAGCAGTGGTGATGAGGAAGACTCATTCAATTGGAGAGAATTGCAGTAGCACAAAAGGCATACTGAATAAGGTGCAGCTGAGATGAGTAGTATGGAGAGCTATGGGAGGATCAGTGGGGAATAAATTTAAGTGTCATTCGCAACCATAAGGAATGAACCCTAATTAAAAACTAGGATTCAAATGGACTAAGATGATGAGCGACAGCTTGATGACTGTGAATCAGATAAGAACTTGGAGTAATGTAAATGATGTTTAAATTAAAAAGATTTATACACAGTTTTGTGCTTAGTACTTAGAAGTGCGTACTACCATTCCGCAGCGCTTGCAATCTATCTCACTTGCCTGTCTAACATAAAAAAGAAACTGAAAATTATTTTCTAATAGCTGTCGCCGCTCAGAAGGCAATGGCAATGCTTCGAAAATGGACGCAGCGTGTAACGTTCATAGAACTAGTTGCTAAAAAACTAAAAATAGCATTTAGAATAAGTCGAGCTTTATTTAAAAGCTCCTAAACCTTTACTTAATGTATAAGTAGTACAATTTTTTTATGCGTAAACATTTTAGTACCCGGTATGATAAGTTTTCAGCAGAAAAATTATATTTGTTTATTTTCTGTTCAAATTAACATTTGTGCACTAGTTCAAGGTTATTTCAGGCCTAGCTCACAACTGGTATCCATATAACTGTTTCGGGACCGGTTCTGTAGTTTAATCAATAGTTCAGAAGAATTTTTGCACTAGTTTTGGACTAGTAAGCGATCTCCTCGGCATGTTTCAAGGCTTGTTCGAGATCATTTCGGGAAATATTCACGACTTTTTCAGAACCATTTCGGAACCACTGGTCGGTTGGGAGTAAATTGGCAAATTCATCGGAAATTTCACAAGGAAATGGTGCAACGGAAATGGTTGGGACTGAAACAAGTGCTTCTTGAGTGTATGCACATGGTATTAATTTAACAAAAATTTGCTAATAAAAAAGTTAAAAAACACCACTGAAGTAAAGGCGAGTACGTACATAAATGAAGAAAAGAATAAAGGCAAAGGTAAAAATAAAAACAAAGATGCGTAAGGATAAAGGCAAAAATGAAGACCAATGTAAATTTAAACACTTTACTTATATATGTATATAAGGGCAAAGGTGAAGAGGAATATGTAGTTGAAGAAAATGATGAACATAAAAGTAAAATCAAAGATGAGGATGAGGATACCGATAAAAGTAAAGACGAAGATAGGGAGAAAAAGATTAAAATAAAGGTAATTAAAGAGGAAATGATGTAGAGAGAGACACAGAGACAGGGATGCTCGAGACTTATCAATAAAATAAACGATATATTTATCCATTTTGTTATCGACATTTATCGATTATGTTATCTATATTTATTGAGCTTGTTATCGATATTTATCGATTTAGTTATCGGTATTTAACGATTTTGTTATCGATATTTTTATCAATTTTCCAATCGATTTTGCTACCAATGGTATTATCGATGTTGCCATTGAAATTTGTATCGAATTTGTCATCGTTGTTGTACGTTATTATCGTTGTTGGACGTTATTATCGATTTTGTTATCGATAGAGTATAAATATAAAAATGAAGATAATGGAGAAACAGAATAACATGAATGTTATTAAAACGAACAGGGGTAGAGATTGGGATCTAGATAGAAAAAAAAGAGAAAAAACATAACCTTAAGCAAAATCAGATATGTGTAAGTATATATTGGTTATGAGACAAAATAGATAAGTACCGTAAGTTTCACTACTCCAGTGTGGCCCAGGCGCACTTCCTTTTTTATTTATATGATTATGAAAATAGAGTTTTTTATTCCTACATGAAATGTTAGATATCAGTGAATATTAAAATGGATACAATATCGCCCTTCTCCACCAAAGCCAGCCATTCCAAACACAATACAAACATTTAAACAATCTCAACTCTTACCGAGAAAACTCTGCCGATCGATCGAAAAGCGCCGCAAGCTACCCAAATCGATAAATTGTTCATCACCCGTCAGTGTTGGCGTAATCGACAACTCAGTGGTGTGAAAGGCCGAATTGCTTTCACCACCACTACCACCGCTAAAGCCAACGCGACTGTTGGCACCGCCCCCGGTCGCCTTACTGCCGCCGCCAGCACTTGTGCTGCTGAAGCAACCCAGCGTATTGCCATAGAAACTGCCATCTAACTCAGCCATCTGTTGCTCATTGGCCGTCAACGGTTGTGTAGAACGTGAACTGTGATCGCGGTAGAGCGGACGTGGTGAGGGCACCAAATGTCGCAAGGTGCCGTTCAGTGATAGACGTGGTTGCATTATTTCAGGAAAACTAGCGCGTGGCTTCTGAGTGGACTGAGGCTGTCGACTTAGCGAAAAATAATTGCGTGAATTTAAATTCGAAGCCGGGCCAGTGCCGGTGTATGCACCAATAGTACCAACATTACTTTTGCCACCGCAAGCCACACTACCAAGATTGCTGCTCATTTTCAAGCGCTTGATTGGTGCGGTTTTTGCTTTGAATATGACTTTTTTAGTTTGACGCTTAATTTCTTTCGCTCCAATTGCTTGCGCCAAGCATCTGCTGCCTTTTGCTTGATTTTCTATTGCACCATTCGGTTTCGGTTTTATAGATGTTCTTATTGGTGTGTGAGCAGTTTTTGGCTTCAACTGTTTGTATCGATGCCGATGCCGCTTGTCCGTGACCACTTGACCACTTGCTTCCGGCTCATCCGCATCTAAGATCCGTTGCTCTTCATCGTGACTATGAAAATAACCGGAAATTGGTGAAGTTGGTGGTAAGTCTATTTAGTTGTTTTACGTATAATATTATATATATATGGGTTGTTATTGTTGGTGCAGCACACATTGTTGCATAATGAAATATGTATGTAGTTTCGTGTAGTTTAAGGAATCGATAAATGGTTTGTGGTGCGGACGGAAGAGTAGCAAGCAGGCAGGCGGGCGGGCGGTCGTGCGGATGGGCAATTGTGCAGGCGCATGTTTGTACAAACGGATTGCGGATACAGGTAATATGATGCATTGGTGAGTTTGTCGAAGGATAAGAGGATTAAGAGCGCGCGCCAATATGTTAGCATGTGTGTGTGTGTTTGTGTGTGTGTGTGCATATGTATGCAAGAGAGCGAATGAGATCGAGAAAGAAATAGACCATTGAAAACTTGGTTATTCAATAATTCAGCAGACAATTTGTTGCGGCTAAGCGATGAGCTACACGTGAAAAGCTTTCTCCGTTACACAAGCACAATATGTACAGTAACAACAAAGTGGGCGAGTGTGGGTGTGTGGGGCTAGGTTACAAGCATGGTGATGGCAGGCGATCGGGCAGGCAGGCAGGCGGGCGGTTTTGGCTCTAAAAAAAAGCTTGATATAAATGTTTAAATGTTTGTATTTTCTGGTTGCTTTGCAAATTCAGCCACTGACTGAGTAATTGAGTAACTGCATAAAACTTTTACAAATAAATTAACAATAACAACAACAACAAGTGTGGAAATAGCACACAGCAAACACTGTGCATATAGCGGTGGATTTGGGCACTTAACTGATGCTGGTTGCGATTGCCGTGGTGAAGGTGCTTTTGTTGGTAGGAGAAATGTCAGTGAGTTTATTTAGTGGCTGGTAGTGGCAGTGTACTTTTTAGGCAATTCAATTAACATGTAATATATATATAATATAGATATGCAGTTTTTGATTGTATGTACATATGTATTTGTTTTGTGGCATATTAATTTTGTTTATTTGAATCTTAATTTTTGTTCTATTTACTTTTATTCCATCGATTTGCTAATTATTCTCATTTTCCTAAACACTATTTGGTTTGCTCTAATAGCATGCCAATAATAATGTGCAAAATTTGTGTGTGTTTTTAATAACCATAAATGATATTTTCCACTATGCATAAACAATCACACAACAAATTGGAATTATTTAACAATTAGCGGAATGTGCATTACTCGCTTCATACACACAGGAATTTTCAACACACTTACTTATACATATGTGTGTAAGTAACACACGAGCTATAAATTAATAAATAATATTGTTTAAATATTTTCGTTGTGTATTTTATTTTGGCATTTAATACCCATATTATGCCATTAATAAATATGTATACCACATAAATTAATAAACCTTTATTTTGTGGTATGCACAAAATAATACACAGGCACTAAATATAATGAATTCTAATGGCGGTCAGAAAAATGTAAAAAAAAATCCAATTATTCCGCTATATGCTT